ATTTTGGAGTTTGACAGCTGAACTCCGCCATTTAATTTGCATATGCAACCAAAGTCAGACGCGTGATTTTGAAGGTGTTTTTATTTAATGAATTGTGATGAATTGGTTAATATTAAAGTCGTAAAGCAAGTTATAACAAATCAAGTAAAGTGTAAAGTGAAGGGGAATACAAAAATATATTGGTGAAGTGGCTAATTTAAGCAGAATAGGAGTGATAAATGTACGCTAATTTCCGAATTTTACAAAAAAGGGCATATTTCAAACCCAATTTGTAAATAAATTAGTAACCAAAATTTACAAAAGTGAGTGTTAAAATATTGCGTGGACCCTTGACTACAAGTGTGTGAAATTTTTTTTGGATCGGGCCACCCATTTGGACGGAATAGCCCGAAATAGTTGTGAGCGGTACTAAACCCCACCCAAACATTTCTCCAATTTTTTGCTTAAAACGTAAGAAAATTATGTCGAGCAGAAATAAAACTAGGTACTCAAAAACGCGAAAATGTTGTAGATATCAGACTTTGGGTGGTGATGCTCAAAAAAGTGGCAGTAAGCAACAATGAGGAGAGTCCGATCACTGCCGATAGAATACCATTCACCATAGTCAACAAAAGAAGAAGCATTCACTTCAGCTGATCAGCTGCTAATTGTCAAATTAATTGTTTTTATTTGACCGCGTTAACATTTTTTGTGCATTGATATGAACGCCGAGAAGCAGGACTTTAATGAATTGCTCGACGACATTGTCCTAGCAGAGGAAAAACTTAATCGTGAAGGTTACGAGGAAGGATTGGAAGTAGGACGCTCACAAGGCGAACAAGAAGGCTACCAATTGGGCTACGCGCAAGGTGTACAACTAGGTGTAGAACTAGCTGAAATATATGCCACTGTTGTGGCGCAGCAAACGCAAAATCATACAGAAAAAGTCCGACGTTCGCTCCAACAATTGCGAAAAAGCATAGACGACTTTCCACGTGATAATAATCCAGAAGCAGATATAATTGGAACGGTAGAGAGCATACGCAATCAGTACAAACGTGTGCGTGTACTGACCACTGGCAAAGTAGGTAAATTTGGCAATAAAGTGGAAGACGTCGATACAACTCAGCAGGGCAAAAACAAAGATTTATCTTTTTAAATCTTGAGCAATCAGCAAGATGAGCATCGGTCAAATACGCGCACGTTTGGAAGAGATTCTACAATTTATGCAGCCGCATTGGGAGTTTGTCAACTGCCACATGGTTAGTTATTTAACTGAAAAATATTGGCAACGTTACATGCCAGATGAACTGAAAATTGAAGTTCCCGATGTGGAGAGTGTTCAAAGCTGCATTGAAACAGTTTTTTGGAAAAATGCGAACAAAGGTGTGGATACAGACGAATTTAGTGGTTTCAAAAGATTTCTAGGCACATGCGAGCGCCAACGTCTAGATAAATGTGTCGATCTATTAACACCAATGGAAGTTTTATTTAAAGAGCTCGGTTTAGCTGCAGACTTAGAGCAAAATCTAAGCATTAAAGAATTCATGAGTGAAAAGAAAAGACATGAGGTAAGCGGTTTGTAATTTATGTACGTTGTTATGCTTGGCTAATGAAAATGCAAGCATTTATATCTCATTTTAATTTGCAGGTTGAGATAACTGCTACATTAGTTGATCGCTTGATTCAAAGTAGCGTAGCGCATAGAGATACTACTGAAGTTTTCGTTGTCGATGCTGGCGATGGCAAAGGTTACCTATCATCTCGCCTAGCATTGCAGTATGGCCACCGTGTGCTTGGTATAGACTTCCAAGAATTAAACACAGAAAGCGCTCTAGAACGTAACCGAAAGCTTCAGGTAGTATCAAAACAATCACAAAATATTTAAATTACAAATATATGTCGTCATAGCGCGTTTGGAATGGCTTGGTGAAACGTTCAGGGTTACAGCAACAGGGCTTAACGCCCGCGCGATGTGGGAAGAAACCGGCAACTAACGAAAATATTTCGTACAAACCCGTTGAAAGTTTAATTAAACAAGGCGCACTCTACAAAACAACAGCCGCGTTTATCACCCCTGATATAAATATATCTGAATTGCTGAAACAACACTTTCCAGACGCCGCCGATACATCATATATCTGTCTAACTGGTCTACACACCTGCGGCAACTTGGCGCCCACATGCCTACGCGTTTTTCACGAACAAGCGCACTGCAAACTAATCTGCAATATTGGCTGCTGTTATCACCTCCTGCAAGAAGAATACGCCAAGCCAGAATATTTTGAAAATGAAAAGGTTTCCGCGCTTCAAACCTCAACCGGGTTTCCAATGAGCCAATTTCTACGTGACAAGGGCATAGCCCTTGGCCGTAACGCGCGCATGTTAGCCACACAATCGTTAGAGCGCGTCACTAGCGAGCGTAGCTTAATGAATATTTCGCTCTATTATCGGGCACTATTAGAAGTATTGATTTGGGAGAGTGCCAGCGATTTAAAACAAAAAGTGCAAGTAGGCAAAATACGAAAGTACAGCAATTTTAGCGAGTATATTGAGCTTTGTAGTAAAAAACTTTCTACATCTAATGCCGACTTGCATTGGAGTGCGGAATCTATTGAAAGAGTGCAGCAGCAGTATGCATTTGATGCGCATTATATGCATTTATTCCACTTGATGCGCATGTGTTTTGCACAAGTGCTAGAGAGTCTAATATTGTTAGATCGGCTGTTATATCTCAAAGAATTGGGATATGAGAAAAGTTACTTGCTATCGGTATTTGATGCAGTTATATCACCGCGGCGCTTTGGCATTATCGCGGTGAAGGACGCGGATAGATGACGCCAATAATGTAGGCTACATGCTTGACAACATACCTAAACCCGCAATTGTAAAACACCGGTTGAATGAGCTGCTGAATAAAATTAAAAACAAACATATACACACTAATAAATACGTTATTAAATAAATCGCTAATTACACACAAGATAATTTGATTGAAAATGTTTTCTTTATGGCGTGTTTATATTTGTAGTAGCGTACGTATAGCAAGACACATTGCATATTAATAATAGCGAAAATAAAGGACATATGTACATATTTTTNTATTAAATAAATCGCTAATTACACACAAGATAATTTGATTGAAAATGTTTTCTTTATGGCGTGTTTATATTTGTAGTAGCGTACGTATAGCAAGACACATTGCATATTAATAATAGCGAAAATAAAGGACATACATATTTTTATTACTTTTAAGAGATTTTAGGTAATTCTGCTAATCAAGCGATTGTTTCTGTGTGTACGTTTACTTGAGATTTGATAACACCTTATTGTTTTATTTATATTGCTAATTTAAGTACAAGTATATATATAAATATAGACCTAATATAAGCACAAACCTGTGGGACTATTGTGTTTAAGTGTTTCGATTGAACTGCAGATGGAAAGACGGAAAAGAATACAAACGATTTTTTCATAAAATTTGGTAAAGGTAATTACAATGCAACAGTGTAAAGATATAAACATACGGGTATATACATACAATCATAATAATACATACATACATATCCTAAGCAATTTAAAAATCGAAGAAAGTGCAATTGTGTATAGTATCTAACATATGAGCATGTGGACAAATGTTTTCCAAAATGAAATTAATGCATGTTTTTTCGCAAAAAACTTTTCTCAATAAAAAAATTAAAAACTATATGTATTTAAATAGTACATCTGTTAATTGTGAAATGTGAAAATTTAGGCAAATCCAAAAATATAAAATAGACCAATTGAAAAATTAAAAATTTAATCTTTTCCTAGTTAAAGCTTTCAAATGTCTTAAAAAATTAAGTGAAATATACAAATTTAACATATATTAAGCAAAATTAAATTCAAATTAATAATAACAATAATAATAGATTGGCGCTTACACATATGTTACTCCTTGGCTGAGAAGCTCGGCCAAAATTTAAATTAAATGAAATAAATTTAAATTAAGTTGACAAAAATAAAATAAAATAAATTTTCACTTAAGTGAAACTAATCAAATAAAATAAATTACAAAGAATTTAAATAGGAAAATTAGAGTTTTCCCGGCAGAAAGACTAGGGACTAAAATACTCCCTCCCAAACTTATGTATGTAGTGTAATTTAGAACAAAATGAGTAGCACCGTCAGCAAAAAAAAAATTATAAAAAATCAATACAATTGAGCTAATTATTATTATTTTTTAATTCCGGTTAAAAACCTTGAAATCTTAAAGATGAATATTGAAAATTTTTAGAATTTTCCTAAATTTCGTATAAAGTTTTAAACTTGGATTTGCATATTTATGTATGTACATTAGACTGGGTCGAAAAAAAAAGTTGCTAATGTCCGCCCCTAAATTTAAAGATTATGTTGAGAGGGTTCTGGAAAAATTTTTTATTTTTTTTTTTAACCCTCCGAAATACAGCCGAAATGGTTTTTTCGTTGTAACTTGGTTATTTGACGGCCGATTTTTAAAATTGATATGTCATTATTTTTGTCTTGAGAAGCTTCACTTTTCGTTCTTATGTCTTTTTAAGCTTTGAAGTCGCGTTCGCATGATAAGGGCAGAAACAAAATTTTACCCCCCCTAAAGTATATTTTTTTCCTTACCAAACGAAAGTACTTAAAAATTCAAGAAAATGTTGCCTTCAAACTATATTACTAAAATAATAAACAAAGGAGTTATAGCACTTTTAATATCACAGGTCAACATGAGTTTCAGATGTAAGTATAATAACACAGTACAACAAAAATTGATTTTTTTTATGCAACAGAGTAACCTAAATTTAAGGATTATGTTGAGAGGATTTCGAAATTTTTATTTTATTTTTTTTTTAACCCTTCGAAATACAACCGAAAAGGTTTTTTCGTTGAAAGTTGGGTATTTGACGGCCGATTTTTAAAATTAACATGTCATCACATTTCCTTTTAAGCTATGAAGTCGTTTACCCATGGTTAGGTCAGCTAACAAAATTCGCCCCCACAAATTCCTCCAACAGTTTTCTTAGTTGGAAATTTAATCTCACTGCTTTCGTACCAATTTAGGTACATTTTTGCTACGATTTTTCCCAAATTCATACTCTTTGTTTTCGTCGCATCAGCAACCCGGGGAGTGCAAAACTGACGCTGTCAATAGCGAGCTAACCTCTTGTAATTTAATCATGCCAATAAATTTTATAAATTGTGGAAGTCAAAGTAAATAAGTGAGTCAAACCTGTTGTTTCGTATTGATAATAATAATTTATAATTAATACCATAAATTGTGCTGGTGAAATAAAGTTAAAAAGTGACTTAACAGTGTGTGCAATTTAAAAATGGCTTTCGTTAAGCGCGATATTGATATTAAAATGTTACCTACGAAACGTGGTGTTATTGAATATTTTTTGTTCCTTAAATATTACGGCTCTGCAAGTGTTCCAAAAAATCGAAGTCTCAATGAATATTTGCCAATAGTTATGAACACAATTTCAAAGTTGTGGCAGCAGGCAAACATCCCTATAGTTACAAGAACTACGCTCCGGAGAAACATTGAAAGCCTCCTTCAAAGTTATTACAATGTAAAAAAACATCCTTATGAATATAATGATCAGGAATGGGCCACATTTTTGCAAAATTAGAAAGCCGAGACCAATATAAAAGCCTTGATTCGCGCCAAAATTTGCTTAAGTAGCAATAAATATTGTAAGTGAAATAACTTTTTTGTTGATTATTTTAGTAATATAGTTTGAAGGCAACATTTTCTTGAATTTTTAAGTACTTTCGTTTGGTAAGGAAAAAAATATGCTTTAGGGGGGGTAAAATTTTGTTTCTGCCCTTATCATGCGAACGCGACTTCAAAGCTTAAAAAGACATAAGAACGAAAAGTGAAGCTTCTCAAGACAAAAATAATGACATATCAATTTTAAAAATCGGCCGTCAAATAACCAAGTTACAACGAAAAAACCATTTCGGCTGTATTTCGGAGGGTTAAAAAAAAAAAATAAATTTTTCCAGAACCCTCTCAACATAATCTTTAAATTTAGGGGCGGACATTAGCAACTTTTTTTTTTGTATGGGGACCGACCCAGTCTAATGTACATACATACTTACATATACGAATTTAACGAAAAATATTTATGTTACATGGAAAACATTGTGAATATTTATGTATACATCAAAACTGCCGATGTCCAGAGGCGAAATTTTTCTAAATAGATTAAATAAAAAGTATGTGCCTAATTAATGTCGATGAGATTAAAAAACGTATTTAATATTAACGATTTATTCAAAGGTGACAAAGTCCGACCCCAAGCGGAAATCAAATTACTCAAGTCCATTCCAGCAAATCGTATTGCGCTCTGCGAGTGCATATTGTGACATATGCGACGATACCACAAGACAATTTGGGAAATGTATGACTGATTCTTTCGCGAACTAAGGTTTTATAAATATTTGGTATTTATGAAAAGTGATTGTCTTTCCATCCGTTCGTTTGTGCTCACGTGAACTCGAGTAAAAATTGAAATATCGTCGCTTGGCGCACAATACCTCGTATATGCCAAATCCAATACCACGTATAAGGTGGCATTAAAAAATTGTTTTGGTTACTTCACAAATTTAATAGTAAATAATTATTGTAGAAGCTCATTCAAATGTTCTGAAGAAAACATGTTTCTTCGCCCTTTTGCAAAATTTTCGGACTATCATATACGTGGTATTGCATTTGGCGTATGCGTGGAATGGCGCGCAAAGCGATGATATCTGAACGAAAATTTGTGCGTGTATTTCTTTTAAGCCAAGGGGGTATTAAAAATACGCAAAATCAGACAATTACCATGCCTACATCCCATATGACGGAAGTTGGCCGCACAGTTGTTGGTCGTGGTAAAACATACCAAACCACTGAGAATTTAAAAAATCGGGCAATAACGACATTTAAATCCCACACAACGGCAATTTAGAGAAATACGAAATTTTCGATAAATCAGGAACCACTGAAGTGAGTGTTTTCAAAATTGATGTTTGGAGTAAATCTTTAGCAAGAAATGCATTTTAAACAAGTTTTTGGAAAATTGGGGTGACACCGCGTACTTGTATGAACATTACGGTAACTAACCTATCCAATTCAGGACCCTAAAAGGACCTATTCACTGAGAAGAAAATTCTCCCATCTGGAAAAATTTTGATTCCAATTTTGAAAGGTATCGGTGGGCATTTGAAAATTTCCATGTAAATAACATAAAATAAATAAATAAATAAATACATTTTTTTTCATTAAAAATGTTATAACTATTGAACCGTTTGAGTTGATTACCTAGAACAAAAATGTATATACTCACGGGCTATGAAAGTCGAAAAAAGCAGAAATATGCAGTTTAGGGCTTTATGATTTGAAAATTTGTAGGCTGCGACATCTATTACAGCTGCTATGAGACAGCGCACAAATTTGTTGTGGGTAGTTGGGCGTAGACCTTAATAGTGCTTTTATTAGGGTATTCGATTATTCGCCTTTTTCCAAATCTGGTTTTCGAGTTATTATATTATTATTTTACATAATTTTTATACAGTGAAAATGTATGAAGTCATGACCAAAAAATACAATAAAACTATTAACAGTAAAGATAATAAGAGGGGAAAGGCAAAAGAGGTACAAAGTTTTTTATATAAAAATTAAAATATATAAAATTAGTGAAAAATTCCCGCTTGGTCTTTGTTTAATACTTTACTGCTTTTTTATGATTATTTCGGCTTTGAGTAGTGCTCTTGCCGCCGTAACCGGTTGCTTAGAGATGCTTACTGTTGCTCGGGAGATCCCTGGTTCAATTTCTGGATCCATCAACAGCAAAATAAGTTTTTTTTCAAGCAGCTGTCGCCCCTCGGCAGACAATGGCCACTCTCCAAGTGTAATAAAATAGATCACGAACGCGAAGAGAAGTTCGGCCAAACACATAGAAAGCGTTTAAGCGCCAAGCATTCGTTTATTGGAATCAGATATGATATACTGTTCATGCACACATAACCTATATATAATTTTGAAACTATTTAGGGGCTTCCCTTGAACTGCAAAACTTTGAATAACCTAAAAGTTTTATTCAGAAGTCAAGATTTGGATTAAATGAAAATAACCAGTTTCTTCGACAAAAAAAATCCGGTTTATTCGATATTCGAAAAATCAAGATTTCAAAAAAACGTGCATAGATTTTAAAAAAAAAAAAAAAAACCGAGTCAATCATTCTATCTTTTATCCAGGTTCACCCCATCAGTGAATGAATTACAACAAACCGCAGGAAAGCTAAATATATTTGGTCCAACAGTCGGAAATTTCAGTCTTCAGGACAACACCTCCGACAACGGGGAGAGGCTCATCGACTTCGCTGCAGCACGGTACATGGAAGTTATGTATATTGTACTACCCTACATCAGAGTCGAAACATCTATAAAAAGCATTTGGTTTACCCCTCATCAAAGACGAAAAACCCAATCGATAACGTTGTGATATGTCCGCCGAAAGTTCGACGTCGAAAAGCTACAGTCACAGACGACACCCGATAATTTTCGCAATCGAATCTGAATCCTGCTTAAACTAGAAACTTTTCACGATCGGATATAAATGAAAAATGGGAATCGATCCGAGAAAATAGCAATGCTGGTCCCTATTAGCTTCGGGCCAAAATTATTTTTCTCGTCTCTTCTATGGCAAAGACCTGTGCCTGAAAAACTCTGGCCGAATTCGGTGGTCGAATAGACTCTTCGATTTGGAGATCAGTATGAAAAATCCCCGCCTCTATGAAAGATTTTGTTTATTCTGGCTCGACAAACTTACAAAGAAGCTCTCATTGCCAACTTTCATGGCCAAAAGCCCTTTTGAGAGAAAGCACTTGTATATCATTGGGCTAGCCCAACTCCAATAGTCCCAATGGCCAAGAGAGCAAAGCATTGGTGTACCATTCGATAGATTCGAGGTTTGAGTCCTCGGACAGCGGAATTTTTTGTTTATGTGTATTTTCTCTTTTTAGGTTAAACTTCTTTTAGTTTTTAAATTTTATTGTTTTAAAAAGGAAATACTACATTTTTTTTAATTTCATTTAATTTTTCTTTTTTAACTTAATTTTATGTGTTTATTTTTTTAAGCAAAATAATTTTTTTAATTTCATTTATTTTTTTAGAACTTATTTTATTTTTTACTTTAATTTTTTCAAATTCAATTTCCTTTTAGTTTTTAGATTTTATTTTAAAAAGAAAAATATATTTTAGTAAATTTCATTTAACTTTTAAAAACTAATTTGATTTATTTTTTCTCTATTAATTTAACTTTTATATTTTTTTAAATTTGACGTTCCTTTCCTTTTAGTTTTTATTATTTCAAAGAGAGAAAAAACTTTTTTTTTTTTATTTAACTTAATCTGTAGAAATTTTATTGCTAAAAAAACTCATCGTTAGCAGATCACTCAGTAATTCCTTCGAAAGACAGAGAAGAGCTTTCAAGATAGCTGCAAGAATTGACAATTGTCTTACGAAAGACTGATTGTAATAATATGTTTTTTATCTTATCAATTTAATTGAATTAAATTTTCGATTATGTGGAAACTCTTTTAAACAATAATTTCCAAATTAAGCTTTCTTAAGTTGTAATATTTCATTTATTTAATGAATTTAATTAATCGAAAGTTTTCAAATACATAGCTTACGAATCTTCTTTTTTATGCTTTATATCATTCGGAGTTTATAGCTAACAAGCCAAAAATATAATTCTTCAAATCGATGAAGTCGTTTTTGAGTTTTCGTCCGCCGAACAAACGAACTTAACTTAAAATTTTTATATATGTACATGCATATGAAGACATATATGTTTTATTTTTATAATAATAGATTGGCGCTTACACATATGTTAGTGTTTGGCCGAGCTTCTCCTCCAATTTGTTTGATGTTGTCTCACAAAGGGGAGCTACCTACAGTTTTGCGCCGACTCCGAATGGCGATTGTATTTTTATGAGAACCTATTTTTCATGGCAGAAATACACTCGGAGGTTTGCCATTGCCTGCCGAGGGACGACCGCTGTTAAGAAGAAACCTTTATCCTATATTTTTTTGCGATGTTGCTTTCACCAGAGCTTAAACCTAGTCGTTTCGGAGTGAAAGCGCGCACTGCTTACCACTACACTACAGCGGCCGACTTTTTTAACCGACTTCAAAAAAAGGAGGAGATTATCAATTCGTCGGAATATTTCTTTTATGTATGTATGTTACCGCATAACTTTGCACCACGTCAACTGATTTCTATAATTCTTTTTTTAAAGGAAGGGTGGTCCCATACTAATTTGGTTTAGATCCGATCTTTGGATCATGAAGAAATTAAATGTACTCTTAAATTTTTATATGAAAATTGAGGTCGGTTTTTTTTCTCTTAAAAATTACTTGTTTCGCTATGTTCTGCATCCATATTTTTATGATACTTTTAGTTAATATGTGATTCAGGCCGTTTCGAAGGGGTATTTTTGCATCGACGGTGAATTAATTTAGCATCGCAATGCCAATTTGACTAGACTATTAGTAACTTTTCAATTTATTAATCAAAATCCAATAGTTATTTAATTATTCTTCTGTTAAATAATGTTTTTTCTCTCTCGCTTCCTTTTCTTTTTCGAAAGCAGTGCATAAAATGCTTTCTACAGAAACCATTGGCCTCTTGGCGGCTCTCTTGGCGATCGTATACGTCTGGTGTCGTTACACATATGGGTACTGGAAGCGGCACAACATTCCCTTTATAAAACCATTCCCACTGATTGGCAACATTCAAGTCATGTTTACGCTCAGCAACAGTTTCTTCCTGTATCTCTCCGATGTCTATAAGGATGCTACGGTGACGAAAGCAGCAGCAGTCGGCATTTATATACTAAACAAGCCAGCTTTAGTGCTACGCGAGCCGGAACTCATCAAATCCGTGCTAATTAAAGAATTTCAAAAGTTCGCTAATCGTTTTGCCGCTTGTGATCCACACGGTGATCCTTTGGCATCAAATAATCTATTTTTCGTACGCAATCCACAATGGAGGGAGCTGAGAACGAGAATTTCACCGGTGTTCACTTCGGGCAAAATTAAGCAAATGTATACGCTAATGACTGAGGCAAGTAAATCAAACAAATTTGTAGATTAGACCGTAACATAACCTTTGAATCGAAAGTATTTTTGCCAGGCAATTTCACAAAAAAAAAAAAAATTGTTTTGGTCGATTGTTTATAAGTAAGATAAAGCTCATCGCAACACCGTTCTATACTTACCTCTCGAACTCAGTTCCTATCACCCTTACANATATGGGTACTGGAAGCGGCACAACATTCCCTTTATAAAACCATTCCCACTGATTGGCAACATTCAAGTCATGTTTACGCTCAGCAACAGTTTCTTCCTGTATCTCTCCGATGTCTATAAGGATGCTACGGTGACGAAAGCAGCAGCAGTCGGCATTTATATACTAAACAAGCCAGCTTTAGTGCTACGCGAGCCGGAACTCATCAAATCCGTGCTAATTAAAGAATTTCAAAAGTTCGCTAATCGTTTTGCCGCTTGTGATCCACACGGTGATCCTTTGGCATCGAATAATCTATTTTTCGTACGCAATCCACAATGGAGGGAGCTGAGAACGAGAATTTCACCGGTGTTCACTTCGGGAAAAATTAAGCAAATGTATACGCTAATGACTGAGGCAAGTAAATCAAACAAATGTGTAGATTAGACCGTAACATAACCTTTGAATCGAAAGTATTTTTGCCAGGCAATTTCACAAAAAAAAAATTGTTTTGGTCGATTGTTTATAAGTAAGATAAAGCTCATCGCAACACCGTTCTATACTTACCTGTCGACCTCAGTTCCTATCACCCTTACATGCCTTCCAATGCCAAGTAAGGTAAATTATAGCTAGAACGCGGAACTTAGGATCAACGACCATTGGAACAAAAAAAAAAATTTACAAAACACGTCGATATAAATATCATACTTTAACATCCGGCTGTAAATACCCAAGATTTGACGAAAATTTTAAACAGGCAGCCTCTAAGATCGGCCATAAAAAAATGTNCACCCTTACCTGCCTTCCAATGCCAAGTAAGGTAAATTATAGCTAGAACGCGGAACTTAGGATCAACGACCATTGGAACAAAAAAAAAATTGACAAAACACGTCGATATAAATATCATACTTTAACATCCGGCTGTAAATATCCAAGATTTGACGAAAATTTTAAACAGGCAGCCTCTAAGATCGGCCATAAAAAAATGAACGAAATTGCTTTGCCAAGATACTTCAAATTCGAAGGCATACGGCACACTTTTTTTTGCCATAAGGTGGTACGGTCTAATGTTGAAAGTTGCGCTTCCACATATGGCCTAAATCGCCGAAAACGAAACCAATGGGGAACAATTTTTTCTCAGGTTTCGCACATTTTTGATTATATCTGGGTCACACATATTTCAAGATATCGGAATATTAACACGAATCTCCCTCTCTCAAACATGAAAATTCAGTTAACACAATTTTTTACAATATATTTGCTTCTCTTCAAAGTCGGCAGAATTTTTTAATGTAATGTAGCAGTCCAAAATATCAAAAAGGTTTTTGGCGCGGACAANAATCGCCGAAAACGAAACCAATGGGGAACAATTTTTTCTCAGGTTTCGCAGATTTTTGATTATATCTGGGTCACACATATTTCAAGATATCGGAATATTAACACGAATCTCCCTCTCTCAAACATGAAAATTCAATTAAACCTGAGACACCTTTAATTTAATGAAAATTAAAAAAGCAAAATATGAAATTAAAGGGTAGTTTATATTTAAGGACCACAATTTTTTGCAATATATTTGCTTCTCTTCAAAGTCGGCAGTATTTTTTAATGTAATGTAGCAGTCCAAAATATCAAAAAGGTTTTTGGCGCGGACAATCAAATAAAATAGTTCCCTGTACTCTTTATTGGCCATGTGTTTTCAGTGGAAAATTATTGTTATGTAACCGTCTTTCAGATAAATAGATAGATAGATTTTCAGATAAATTTATCTATTTTTTTATTTAAAGATAGGGATCATTTTGCAAGCAAAATTGTAAGCTATACTTCGGAAACGACCTTCAGCTCCACAACCTCAGAAACTTTCACATCTGTATTCATAATTATCATGTTTTTAATTGCTTTGAATCAGATGTCAAGCCATTTAAAAACTCAATTATTATCTTATCGCTACATGTATATCGCACAGGTAACGTAACAGTATTTTACTGTAACGCAACAGTCCGACTATTNAGATAGGGATCATTTTGCAAGCAAAATTGTAAGCTATACTTCGGAAACGACCTTCAGCTCCACAACCTCAGAAACTTTCACATCTGTATTCATAATTATCATGTTTTTAATTGCTTTGAATCAGATGTCAAGCCATTTAAAAACCCAATTATTATCTTATCGCTACATGTATATCGCACAGGTAACGTAACAGTATTTTACTGTAACGCAACAGTCCGACTAATTTTTTTAAATATTGGTACCTCAAAATTGGTTGTTTCAGTTCAGTTAATACATAGTTCTTGAGTTCCATCGTTAAGCTAAGAAACTGTGTAACAACTTTTGAAAACATTATATTAGGAGAGCAGACTTTTTCAATAATATAAAGAAGCTTTAAAAAGTTCTTTCAAAAATTGTAATTTAACAGCCCGCTGTTGAAACATTCATAACTCCTAAACAACAGGAGTTACATATATATTATAGATATATACTAAATAATGCCACATAACTGCTTTAAAATGCAAGAAAAACTATCCGAAAATTGTATTCTAGCGAGCTTCAGCAGTATTTGGAAAGCAGTGCGAGCCAAAATGTTATGTAACAGTCTACGTTTTGGGCCATATGTACTAGGGATGCCAAAATATGAGGAAAATTGTGATAATGGGATTTCGGGATATTTTTTAAGTAATCCCGGAATCCCGGGACAAATCCACATTGAGTCATAACTTTTATGAATATTAGTAAAAATTCAATATCTAAAAGCATTTAAAATACTTNTAGGAGAGCAGACTTTTTCAATAATATAAAGAAGCTTTAAAAAGTTCTTTTAAAAATTGTAATTTAACAGCCCGCTGTTGAAACATTCATAACTCCTAAACAACAGGAGTTACATATATTTTAGATATATACTAAATAATGCCACATAACTGCTTTAAAATGCAAGAAAAACTATCCGAAAATTGTATTCTAGCGAGCTTCAGCGGTATTTGGAAAGCAGTGCGAGCCAAAATTTTATGTAACAGTCTGCGTTTTGGGCCATATGTACTAGGGATGCCAAAATATGAGGAAAATTGTGATAATGGGATTTCGGGATATTTTTTAAGTAATCTCGGAATCCCGGGATAAATCCACATTGAGTCATAACTTTTATGAATATTAGTAAAAATTCTATATCTAAAAGCATTTAAACATACTTTGAAATAAAACTATTTAAAATTTACGATAAAATGATTGTAAAACTCACGTATCGCTAGCTTAGAGTGAAATATTGCTAACTTCACTTTTTATGAAAAATCATATTTTGATGTAGGAGGCTAGATAAATTATAAATGCATCGTTTCGAAAAGGGTAAAGGTCCTTGTTCTATGTTTTCTCGTTTATATTCAATGAAAGGAAAATTTGCTAAGTCCAAAAAAAGCTCTGAAAATTCGATAAGGCTAAACTAGTTCGAAATCTTTTAATAAAGATCGAATCTCTCTGATTTGTATGGAGTTTTGCTTTGCTTTTAACAGGCAAAATGGTTTATCCAAAGTTTTGCGAAATACTTGAAGAAAATGGCTATAAGAAGTTTTTTCCTCTCCTGTACAATTTTTGAATTGGGACTTAGCAACTTCGCACTCTGAGCTAGCGATATTTATTAAATCAGATAAACTTTAAAGTAAAACATTTTTTTTATTATATTTTAAAACCATGTGATTGAGGAACGTACATATACATCACAAATAACAATGCAAATACCAGGTACTTTTGAAAGTAATGATTAATAGAAAACCATTAAACAAAAATATACAAAAACAATTTCTCTAAACATATTTATTCTACTCCATGATAAAAACATTTAAATAAATAAATATTTTATCATGTTCTACTCTATAAAGAAATTGCGAATGGCGAATTTTTTGCCTTTTTTCGCAATTTTGAGGGCTCAAACGGATCTCAAAATCGGACTCAGCGGGTCGAACGAAACACATGTTGTTAGGTGGGTCTGTTATTATGGCACTTAAAATTTTTTTTCGTAAAAGCGGAGTCTTCTAATCTTGACCTGAAGTTTTTACATAAATACAAAACCAACTGATGTAAAACATATTTCGCTCTCAACACTTTTAGGCTGAACTGTCAAAAGGTAGTCATAAACCATTTGAAGATAATGACCCCTATCTCCTCCATTACAAAATATTTGAACTTCTACCAGCACGTCGGACAAATTATAAGTTTTTCGGTTTGAGGAAGTTTTGAGTAGGTTTATACAAAAAATTATCTAATGCTGATTTCGTTTGTAGCGAAAAATTCAACCTTCTCGTTGCCCTCTACGCACAAACCCTAAGAAGGGGGCGATGGGAAGGCAAACTTTTTTGTAGAAACGAAAACGCCATAATTTTCCCTTAAAATCTCTCCTTCGTTCACATTAGCGATGTTATGAGTAAATTCATTTGAATCTTCTTCAAAAAGGCTCAGACTGCAATTTAAAAGTACAGTTTCAAGCTTTTTTTAATTGCAGTCAAAACGGCATTTTACAAAAATCATACTTCAAGATTCATAAACAAGTTGTTACTATCAATTCGATATCTCAAATTTTTCGTGATCCCGGGATTAATGCAAACAAGTCCCGGGCTTCCCGGGACCTCAAAAACACCGGAATCCCGGGAATGGCATCCCTAATATGTGCATATAGGCCTTTATTAATTGCATTTGTCTTTTCAGATTGGCTCTGAGTTAGAGTCCCATTTGCTGAAACACACAAAGACTGGCAATACCTACAACACCGAAATCAAGGAGGTGTGTGCGCTCTTCACCACCGATGTGATAGCATCGATTGCCTTTGGCATACACGCTAATAGTTTGAAGAATCCAGACGGTGAATTTCGCACACACGGGCGAAAGTTTGTGAATTTTACGCCCGGTAGAGCGCTCTCCTTTATCATCGCATTCTTCTACCCGAATTGGGTTAGCACATTTAAAGTAAAAGTTTTCACGGCTGAATTCTCGTCGTTTCTACGCAACACCATCAATCACGTTATGATAGAAAGAGAGAAGACTGGTACCATACGTAACGATTTAATCGATGTGTTGTTGGATTTGAAAAAGGAGGCGATTGCAACGAACGAGTACAATGAGGAGGCGCAGGATGTGCTAACAGCGCAGGCAGCAATATTTTTAACGGCTGGTTTTGAGACTTCATCTTCAATGATGGCTTTTACGCTGTACGAATTGGCCAAACATCCGGATTTACAGGACCGACTGCGCAACGAAATTCGCGACGCTCTTGTGGTCGATCATGGCAAATTATCCTATGAGACCATCACTAATTTACCATATCTGGGTATGGTAGTAGATGAAGTCTTACGTTTGTATCCCGTACTACCTATGCTCGATCGCGAGCACCTTCCGAGGGAAGAAGACAATCCGTTTGATCTACTACCCTACTATGATTATAAAGTACCAAGCGGCATGGCTGTTTATATACCAATTTTCGGCATACAACGCGATCCCAAGGTGAGTTGAACGGAATGTGAGAGCGATGTACATATTAATGCCTACTGTGAAGTCGGCTCAGGCGTAGACTCTTAAAATGTTTGCTTTTCCAGTTATTCCTCCACGTATTCTTTATCCATCCATTATATAAATAATTTCCTTTTATATTTCCAGTACTGGTCCAATCCTGACACCTTCGATCCGGAACGTTTTAGCGCTGAGAATAAAAAGCTACACGAACCCATGGCCTACTTACCATTTGGCACTGGTCCACGCAATTGTATTGGTAGCCGTATAGGTTTACTACAATCCAAAATTGGTTTGGTTCACATTTTGAAAAGTAATTTCGTGACCGTTTGCGATAAAACACCAGCGGAGATAACTTTCGATCCCTTGTCTGTACTGTTGCAATACAAGGAAGGCATATACTTGAATGTAGTAAATGATGTTATATACAAGCAAAATGCGAATTAAGGACGGACGTCGGACTTAAGTATTTAAGTACATATGAAGGCGTATTATAAATTGATATTTAAATTAAATAATGAAACTCATATACATATAAAAACTGTTGTACATAGTAAATATACGTTTAAAACTTTAATATACAGCCGTATGTGATAAACTATGAACAATAAAAGTCGAGACTCGACGTGGTATTCATTTTATGATAAAAATAATTATTTTGGAAAACCATATACTTATATTTATATTGGTTATATGCATAAGTTTGGAAGGATTTTTATCGATTGGTACAATGTATTTTATTGAAAGTATTGGCCAACGCTAGCTATGACTTTTCCCATTTCTCGGGCAATGTATTGATTCCGCGCCAATAAAACTGCTCGTCTTTGGAGATCAAGCCAATGTTTGATACATTCAATTTAAGTGAACTGTACTCCCGTTGGGGCGTTCTTCATCGAACGGAACAAATCGTCGTTTGATGGTGCAAGGTTTGGGCTATAAGGTGGGTGGGTTAGCACTTCCGGTATCATTGCGATAAGTTCTGACCACAGTTTCGACGAGAATTGCCATGGCTGAAGAAGAATGACCCATGCCTGCCATTTTCCTGCAATCGCTCGTTTCAGTCACATTAGTTGTTGTCTATAAGAGAGCTCCATCGATCGTCTGACCACTATTCAGAAGCTCATATTACAGGATTCCCCTCTGGACACACCAATGTAGAGCATACCATTGCTTCCATGGATATTTGGTCTTCTGGCGCTTTGGATTGTCGTAATGAATTCATTTCTCTTTTGTCGCTGGTGACATCTCGAACAGCTCGATATCTCTTGATTTGAATTCATGAGGCACAAAAATCAATGGTTTTCAATCGCAGTGAAATGTTTTGTTGAGCCACGCCTAATATTGCCGCAAGTTACTCTTGGGTTTTGCATGGGACTTCGTCTAAAATTGCAATTCGGCGTGTACAAACGTTGGTGGCATTCCTTCGATCTCCTTGTCGATTGTGTCAAAATCTGTACTTTTGAAACGGCGGAACTAGTATTCCCTGGTTGAAATTGATGGAGTGTGCTCTCTTTAAAACTTTGTCTACCCAATAAATAATTAGACCAAGAACAATCGATCATCAGTACCTTTTATATTTAGTCATTCATAAAAAAGCAAAGTTAGAATTTAAATGTAAGATTGAACCTGAAAATAATTGAGACAATCTGAGAAAAACATCATTATCACGGAAAATAGGATCTCAAAAAGGCCCGAGTACCATTTTAAAGTCCCGAAGAAATGTTGGAAAATCCAGATTAAAGAATTTTTTTAATCAATTTCGTAAAAAAATCAGAAAGTACTGGCTTCTTTTTCTTCTTGATTGGTGCTGTAGCCGTCTAATGCTTGAAACACAATACCCGGCGAACGGAGAAGTTCGTCGAATTGGGCGATACCGTCGTTCCCCGTTCGCCCGGCTATTTCGCCACCTTTAACAGAATCAGAGCGGTAGCGAAAACAGCTGATACCATTTCGTCGCACTTATAAGTTAAGTGACCATATTTTGAAAAACGAAACCATATTTAGAAATGATGAAATGATAACAAATATAAATATAAGGCAAGAGGGAATTATTATAAATTATTTTATTAGCCAGATTTAACGAATCGATCACTATATTTTTCAACCATCAAAAATAGTTCGTGTTATATACTATTTGCTTCTGAACCTTTGAAATAAAAAAAAAAACTTACGGCCACCTTTGGCATGTACTGCCGCCATCGTCCAGCAGAGCGATAGAAATAAATCTATCGCCACGAAACGCCGCCGAGCGAACTTCGCATTTCGCTTTGGCTGTGTTCAATTTCATATGCCGGTGGGTGTTCTAATTTTGACAGCGGTAATTTCGCTGTGGTGAGTTCGCCGTTCGCCGGCATTGTGTTTCCAAGGTAAGAGATTGCACACAACGAAAGCTATGGCGAAGTTCGTCTGGCGAAATTCGGCAAGAATAGGTTTATTATTAATTTTGCCACTGCTTCCGGTCGTAAAATCAGCTCACAGTGAAAAATAGTATAGTTCCGTAATTCTTTTAGCAGATAATTATCAGGGGGAAGCAGAATGGGAAAATTTGAGGATTCATCTTTCCGCTTTAGTATTTTCCTGTTTTACTGGGCGAAATGTTGCGGCGAACATCACCCGACGGCGTCGCTGCGTCCGACGAAACTCGCTCGCGGGTTGCGAGACGCTTATGCCCTGACTGTTTGCTTCTCTATCTAGTTCCGAGAAACCAGAAGAGTCGTAGGCCTTGTTTAAACCGATGATGTTTATGTCCTCAACAAAAGCAATTATACGCTCTTAAAAAACTGTGCTTGAGCGGTCAAGTTCTGCGGCTCTTATTATCAAACGTATCGAAAGGTCTTTCCCTACTCTGACGGAGCTGGTGGTATTGATCAACGTCATTTTACACAGCCGTAACAGTTTGGTATGCTTAGAAGGCGGTTCCCGCGGAAGTTACCACGTATGGCGGGTTCGCCTTTCTTGTGGATTGTGCAGAGCTCAGCAAAATAGCAGTCTTGCATGTGTTCAGCTGACCAAATTCTGGTATGAGTTGAAGCATGCACCTTATCAACTCAGCTCCAGCAGCTTTGTCGTTTTTCAACCGCGTAAATGCTATTCGTACCTCGTCATAGTCGGGTGTAGTGATGGCACGATTAATCGAATAACCGATTATAATCGGTTATTTTCATTCGGTTAACGATTTCACTGTATCGAAATTTTCCTTTCGATTAATCGATTAATTTTCAAAATAATCGAAAAGAAAGCATCAAAAATTGACTACTTTACTCACACAATAATGTATGAATCGAAATTGCGTAACAAAATTGGCACTCTTACCACTTAATAATATTAAGAATCTTCACACCTGTTAGTTGGTACTCGGTAAACTGTTAGTTGGTACTCGGTAATTTCATCAACTGTTGTATTTTGTTAGTCTGGTAAACTATGTCTATCAACAGTTGATTCGTAACTTTTCCCATAAAAAAATGAATTGTACCAGAAAATTGAAGGAATTTTCTTTACTCATATGCTTTTTGACTTTCGGCACCGGGTGGATTTAAAATTGGATAAATATCGAACAGCTGATTGCAGTTTACCAACTACCAGAAAATTATCAAGCTTCGGCCAAGATAATCCGGTAACCAGTAAACCGATAATAAAATAATTTTACACAAACAAAATACATGGGTGAAAATTACCGAACACCGAGTTACCCGAGTACCAAGATCGGTGCGAAGACCCTTATTAGCCACAATAAAAGTGTCCACTCTACTCGGTACATACATATGTATAATTTTAATAGTTGGGAGACTTTTTACATTTTCGCATTCTGCAAATTTTTTAAACGATATTTTTGCAAAAAACCGCAACACAAGTTTAACCTAGGTAGCAATTAAAAGTATATATATATTTTTATACCCGAGCGCACTTGTGCACAAGGGTATATTAACTTTGTTCTCATAACGGTTGTTTGTAACAGCCAAAACGAATCGAGATAGATATAGACAAATGTATACATAAATGCTCAGAATTAATAGAGAAGTCGATTAAGCCATGTCTGTCTGTCCGTCCGTCCGTGTACGCGATAACTCGAGCAAAAATTGAGATATCTCAACGAAATTTGGTATGTACGTTTACATTTATCCAAGATATGTTGGTATTGAAAATGGGCGAAATCGGACCGTAACCACGCCCACTTCCCATATAACGGTAATTTCCAGAAATACGAAAACTGCGATATTTTAGTAACTACTGAAGATTATTCACTCAAAATAGATATTTACAATAAACTTTAGATGAAAAATAAGAATATTATAAATTTTTGGAAAATGGGCCTAGCCACGCCCACTTATGGTTACATGTAAATATATATCCTGTTAACCGATGCACCAATTTCTTCTAAACTTGGCACAGTGTTGGCCTTGGTACAGTATACCAAATGGGCAAAAATTTTTAAAATCGGACAATAACCACGCCCACATGCCATATACCGGTAATTTAGGGAAATACAAAATCTTCGATAAATCAGTAAATATTAAAGCTAATTTATTCAAAATTGATGATTGCAATAATCCTTTAGCAAAAAATACGTTTATGACAACTACGTTTATGAATTACGTTGCAAATTTCTTGGGTACGAGAACGCAAAACCAGTAAAAGTTTTCTAAAACTTTAGATAGTTGGGCGTACGAGTACACTCCTATAGTAAGGTAATACCCATGATCGTCGGCCATGATTTTTTTTAAGCTTGCCAAAATTTTAAAATCATATAAAATTGAGAGTAAATAAAAGGAATTGTTTAAATCTGTTGTTCTTTGAGATTAAAAATGTGTGTGTGTGAGTTTGTGTGTAAAATTTTAAAATTAAATTGGTCAACATACCTAAATCCGCAATTGTAAAACACCAGTTGAATGAGCTGCTGAATGAAATTAAAAACAAACATATACTTACAAATTAAATGCGTTATTAAATAAACCGCTAATTACACAAGACAATTTGATTGACAATGTTTTATTTATGGCGTGTTTACATATATTTGTAGTTGCGTACGTATAGCAAGATGCATTACATCTTAATAATAGCGTAAATAAAGGGCAAGATTGCCGTACGTCGACAACTACATAGATACATACTATATACATGCTCGTGCATGGGGCATTCCGTTGTGACTGGTAGGACATTTTACTACAGAATGTGAAAAATTGTGAATTATAAATAAGTCGTCGGAACATATCGAGCCCTAACCGCAAAAATAACGTAAGCGACATTTTTTTCAAAATTTTTTTGATGCAGAAATGCATCTAGATGCTCTAGGAATATTTCTGCATCAAAAGGAAAATTTTGAAAAAAATGTCGCTTACGTTATTTTGGCGGTTAGGGCTCGATATGTATACTATGTAGAACAACGAAAGGTATTTTTAACATAGATAAATAAGATAAGTAAGCATAAAGTTCCTTTAAATAAAATACCAAACGATTTGTTAGTTCTATATACATAACTATCATTTAAATCAGTGATTCCCAAAGTGGTCCAGTGGACCACCATACGTTTCGGATGAACACTTTAGTGGGAGAATTGATCTGAAAAACGTCCGAAAACGGAATCGGAAAACGGATGAAACATCAGGGTTTTATACGAAATT